TCACTTTCAATGGACCTTTCCAACCATTAATTCCGCCTAAATTAACTAAAACTGGCTAACCACTCGCAAGAACCTTACGCTAAAGGCTCAAGATTCTAGCGAGCTGGGGGCTAATTGTTGGTGTCAAAATCGGTCACAACGGAATCAATGGCAAAAAAGTCTCCGCAGAAAATATAAAAGAAATCATTTTATAAAACTCGAAGAATCGTTTTATAAAACTCGAAGAATCGTTTTATAAAACTCGAAGAATCGTTTTATAAAACTCGAGAATCGTTTTATAAAACTCAAGAATCGTTTTATAAAAATCGAGAATTGTTTTATAAAACTCGAAGAATCGTTTATAAAACTTGAGAATCGTTTTATAAAACTCGAAGAATCGTTTTATAAACTCGAGAATCGTTTTATAAAACTCAAGAATCATTTTATAAAACTCGAAGGATCGTTTTATAAAACTCGAGAATCGTTTTATAAAAATCGAAGAATCGTTTTATAAAACTCGAAGAATCATTTGATAAAACTCGAGAATCGTTTTATAAAACTCAAGAATCGTTTTATAAAACTCAAAGAATCGTTTTATAAAAATCGAGAATCGTTTATAAAACTCGAAGAATCGTTTATAAAACTTGAGAATCGTTTTATAAAACTCGAAGAATCGTTTTATAAACTCGAGAATCGTTTTATAAAACTCAAGAATCATTTTATAAAACTCGTAGAATCGTTTTATAAAACTCGAGAATCGTTTTATAAAACTCGAAGAATCGTTTTATAAAACTCGAGAATCGTTTTATAAAACTCGAAGACCGTTTTATAAAACTCGAGAATCGTTTTATAAATCGAGAATCGTTTTAAAAAACTCTAGAATCGTTTTATAAAACTCGAGAATCGTTTTATAAAACTCGAGAATCATTTTATAAAACTCGAGAATAGTTTTATAAAACTCGAAAATCGTTTTATAAAAACTCGAAGAATCATTTTATAAAACTCGAGAGTCGTTTTATAAAACTTGAAGATCGTTTTACAAAATCGCGATAAACCGAAACCGCCGCAAAACGCGAACTAGTCACGACTAGTTCGCCTGCTGGCGAACTAAGCCGAGCTGGCTTAGTTCGCCAGCAGGCGAATTAGGAGCTTCCCGACTAGTTCGCCTGCTGGCGAACTAAGCCAAGCTGATTTAGTTCGGCAGCAGGCGAACTAGAGACTCCCCAACGGCGAACTAAGAAGTGCTGACTTTGCCCCACAGGTTCTTATCGCCTAGTTCGCCATATGGCGACCTGGCCAAGCTGAACTAGCTCGCCGTACGTCGAGCCGACCATCCCGAGCCTCGATCTCCCACATCCTTGATTCAAGGAATACGTCCTTCGACACGATCGTATTCCGAATCACGATCGAAATGTCTCCCGTTTCGTCTCGATCTGTCCTATCGTTCGAGTTTTACCATAAAAACCGTAAAACTTTGTTTTCTCAAAAAGAACTCGAGGAAATCGTATAAAACAGCAACGGTTAAAAGAAACACCGAATATTGCTTAAACTATACGATTTATTCGAGATTTTTCGTAAAAAGCGTACAAAACGCGTTTTTAATAAAACCCCGAGTAAATCGTAGAAAACGGCAACGATTAATCGAAACATCGAACATTGCTTAGCTTTACGATTAACTCGAGAAACTTATCTAAAAACGGCATTGTATCAGGAAACGATCTTGTCTAAAGTCATAAAACGGATTTATCGCAAAATGGCTCGAAAATCATAAAACGCGTTAAAAGCCACTCGCGACTTTAAACGAAGTCCAACCCGAAGATACGACGACGTTTTGGCGATTTACTCGCAGAAAGAAGATAAATGTCAAACTTGAAGATAAATGTCAAGTTTGAGGATAAATAGAAGATTTCCGCGGGAAAAAAGGAAAGATCGAGATAAATGGAAGATTCCCATTTAACTCGAATCTGGGCAAAATGGAAAGACTAAACCGCCTAGGAAGGGAGTATATAAGCAAGAGGCATAGGGCAGAAGCAAAGGGACGAAATCCAGAGTTCTCATCTGAGACTTTCACAACTTTTCTAGACTTAGAATTTTCCGCACTTAGAAACTTAGGCTTTTTCTCGACAAGTTCGGTTTCTATGACTGCCGCTCAATTACTAGACGAACTCGCCCAGGCAGTTCAATCTGTGGTCCAGCTCTACCAACTAAACTACGTTCGACTTGATCCTCGAAAGGGGTACGTAGGCAGCCTTTCATAAGGTTCAGTCCGAAATCAATCAAATCTTTTTTCTTATCTTTTTCCGTCTTTTGTTATCGAGCTGCGACTCGATTAGGTTTAAGGTTTTTATGTTGATAACTCGCTGACGGCCCTGCGGCCAAAGCCTTTTTAAACCCTTGTAATGATCGCAACGCCCTTACGCGAAATCAAAATAAGATCTACTTTTTCTTTAAATTCGTTTTATCACGTTTTTCATATTTTCCGCATTTATTTGGTTACTTGTTGTTGGCTTTCGCAGAGATCCGGTTCCTCTGGAAAATTAGGGTTTTCCTAAGTTTCCTTATTTAACGGAAATCGACAAGTGTGAATTTTGGTTCCCACAGTGAACACTCTAGTTTACTACAATACACAAGCGGTGGAACACCCATCTCAAGCTGTATGTTCCTTTAGGGAATACCCTGAAGAACATTGTGCTTTCATGGTTAGTTTAGATGAGAGCTACATTCCAAGGTCTTATGAAAAAACTATGAAAGACAAATAATGGAGAGAGTCAGTGGGTTTTAAGGCTGATGCTATAATTCAAAACGACACATATTATGAAAGTGAACTCTCCAAAGAAAAGAAAGATATATCTAGTAGATGGATCTTCACAATTAAGTATCTGGCAAATGGAAAGATTGATAGAAAGAAGACCAGGCTTGTGTCTAAAGGATGTACTAAGACTTATGGTGAGGACTATATTCATACCTTTGCACCTGTTGCAAAGCTTCACACGATCAGAATTGTTTTGTCTCTTGCGGCTAACCTTGAGTAGGGTTTGTGGCAAATGGATATAAATAATGCCATCTTGCAAGGGGAACTTGAAGATGAAGTCTACATGTATCCTACTCCAGGTCTTTAGCACTTGGTAAAGAAAGGAAATGTCCTAAGGTTAAAGAAGGCAATCTACGGCCTCAATTAGCCTCTAAGAGCATGGTACAACAAGCTGAGAGCTATCCTAAGTGGGAGAGGCTTTAGAAAGTCCGAACTTTACTATACTCTCTTCACACTTTCAAGTCCCTCAGGCATTGTGTTCCTTTTTGTGTATGTTGATGATATCATAACCACAAGAAGTGACAAGGCTGGTATCTAGGCTACTAAGGAGTTTCTAAAAACTAATTTGAAATCAAAGATTTGGGAGAGATGAAATACTTACTTGGTATTGAGATTTGTAGGTCCAAGGAAGGTTTGTTTTTGTCCCAAAGAAAGTATACACTTAATCTTATGAAAGATGCAGGTAAATGTGGTGGGAAGATAGCGAAGACACCCTTGGAGGATGGATACAAGATACTACGTAAGGGGGAGATAGAAGACAGCCTACCATTTGAAGATCCTAAGCTTTATAGAAATCTTGTTGGTAAGTTGATTTACTTAACCATCAGAAGACCTGACATATGTTTTGCTGTGAATCAGGTAAGTCAACACATGCAAATACCAAAGGAGCATCATTGGGGCATGGTGAACCATCTCTTGATGTATCTAAATGGCACAGCTTATCAAGGAGTTTGGATGATCTGCAGTGGAATCACTAAGGTGGTGGGGTATTGTGATGCAGATTGGGCTGGTGATAGAGCATATAGGATATCCACTACCGGTTATTGTAAGAGTTTGGGCTGGTGGCAATCTCGTTACATGAAAGAGTAAAAATGAGAAGGTGGCATCTTCTTGTAGTGCTGAAGCTTGAGTATAGGGCAATGCTGAAGTTAACAAATGAACTGGTTTGGATCAAGGGAATCTTGAAACATTTGGAGATAGATCACTCTACACCTATTACCATGCATTGTGACAACGAGGCAGCAATATACATTGCATCTAACTCAGTGTACCATAAGAGAAGCAAGCACAATAAAATTGATTGCCATAAGGTGAGGCAATTGATTATTCTAAGATTCATCTTGCCATGCTACACAAAGAGTGAGGATCAGTTAGCTAATGTATTTACCAAGACAGCAAAGAAAAAGACCATTGAATCCATCTAGGTGAAATTAAATGACCCAGATTTCATTGTCAAATCTAGGTCACTTAACTTCTTACAGTTCGCCTAACACCACACCATCACCACCCAAGTGTGGTTTCAAGGACCTTATCTTTCTAATTCATAATCGCTCTTCTTATTTAAGCTTCTTACATTATGTAATAACATCATTGTTTTTTTCTTACTTGATTTTAGTCTTTATGTTTTGTGTCTCTAATTACCTATGGATTTGATATCCTTTTATACAAATTGTGATTTGATGTTCCGTGCTCCCTAACTTATATGGATAAGGAGTTAAATGAAGATAGGGTTGTGGCAGATCGTCTCAGGCAAAGCAAGAGGCGGGTGTCATTTCACCTACTCTCTTAATTATTGGGATTGTTGAACTCAGGCTGGTTGCTGTTTTCCAAAAAGTATAAAGACCACCAAGAAAAACTGCACCATTTTCTCTAATTTATTGGCTGGTACAAGATCAGTCGCAACAACCATATAATTTGTGGTCAACTGGTCGATAAAATAAGCATCGATTAAGGAAATGAAACAGGCTGCAAGCCTGCAAGGATTGTGTCTGTCAAACGGACAAAGCTAAAATTAGCTAATCAAAACTGGAACCATTCGACGTTCCGAGTCAAACTCCCAATGTCCCACCAAAGAATCCACGTGTCTTTTTCACATAGGACTTCAACTCCTATACATTTTTCAGTTTCTTTATATATACTTCAATCGCCTAACCTCAACTAATTAATAAACTCATCTCATATTTAATCAACAGAGAGAAGAGTCCTAAAAATGGCAAGCTTGTCAGCTATTGCAGTTTCCCTCCGCAACAAGGCATTTATCACTCGAAGAGTTCTCTCTTCCGTCCCGACAAGAGTCATCCATGTAATCTATTTTGTTTTCTTATGTATCCATGATAAGTGTGTCTAATTAATCTGTTCTGTCCTTGATGCTTTGACTAAATTACTCAAAGGGGAGTACGACGAAAGAAGCTTCCGTCTGTGACAAAACCACTGAGGCACAACAAAAGGTATAATGTTCCTTAAGAACTTCACCTCAGATTGATTTAACTTAGGGCTCAATTTGTTAAACATACTACTGTGCTAGTATATCCAATTTTTTTAATATTTTGAAAGTATAGCTTTCGGCTTGTGTTTGACTGTGTGTTTATAATAACCAAACAAATTTATTTAAAATTTTAAAACTGCGAGTTCGTTTTGAAACAAAAAAAATACAGAGAAAGATAAAAGCAGATGAATATGTAGTATAGACATAGAGAAAACAATAATGTGTATATACATATATGTGTGTGTGTTTGATTCGATTGTAATTTCCACAAACGATTTCATATAACCAAATTTATTGGATGATGTAGGTAGCCAAGAAGGCGGAAGAAGGAGCACAAACGATCTCCGAGGCCGCAGGTAACTTGAAGGATAAGGCGAAGAACACTGCAGAGGAGGCCTGGGATAAGGTGAAAGACACGACAGAAAAGATCAAAGATACCGTCACTGGAAAAACCGAGGAAACCAAGGAGTCCATCAAAGCCAAAGCCCAGACTGTCGAGAAAAGCATGAATACCAAGAACCTCAAATAATAAACTTATAAACACACTTTCAATTTAAAATTTCCACTAAATAAAATAATTTATTTTTTAATCTACTTACGTAATATATGGAGGTTGTTTCAGTCTGTTTACACTTCTGGTTTGTATTAAGAAAATAAATTACTTTATCAGGTACGAATAAATCTGGGGTTATAAAGCTATGTTAAAAAGAAAAAAAAAAAAATCTGGGGTTATAGAACATGTGGAAATTTATGTTTGTTATAATATATTCGACTATTCGTACAATAAAAAGTAATCAATGGCCAACGAGAATAGCTGGTGCCTTGTGTTTAATGGTGATCTGGATACTTTCAAGTTTCTTTTTTTTTGTTTGGAAAAGGATACTTTCAAGTTTCCTTCGAGCATCTAACTAGAGGTTCCATCATTTGGCTTCATTTTATGTTTTATGTAAGAACTAGCTAATAATTTGTGCCTTGCCTGGAATAGGATTATTGGTTTTGTTAAAGTTAATAAGAAGACACTAAATCTGTTTAATTTGGATATTGTTTCGATTTTAGATTATTTTTGTGTTTTAATCTCCTAAAATATAATTATTATTCTAAATCAATATTTATTTAGATTTTTTTCGTTAAAATGTTTTATGTTTTTCCAATGCTGACCAAAAACTATTATTAATTGTTTGGTTTTATGTTATTAAAACTTTAGATAGTACTGATATCAACCAATAGTTTTATATTATAGTTTCTAAACGGAAAATAGTTAAAGAAAATGAAAAGAAAATTAGTAAAACAAATCATTTGACTACAATTTGGTCGATAGAGAGAGAAGCATTAAAAAAAGAATATTTTAACATCCTAAATATTTCAGTTATGGTGAATATTTAGTTATTTATTTGTCTACGTCAATATGCATATGTATATGCATGTAAAGTATATAAAGGTGGTTGATAAATATATAAAGATATTGTTAATCAATATTAAATTATATTTTTGTTCAAATAACACAATAAAAATAATTTTTTTGAAATGAAATTAATTTAAAATAAAATAGGCTTAAAAATAAGTGATTTTTTCATATAAAGAAAATCAAAATGTATCAATAAATAGGGGTGGACATGGATCGAATATCTGGGTATTTGGAGGTATTCGTGTCTATTCGATCTGTAGCTATCCATATATTCAGTGTCTCGGATATCCGAAACAATTTAGAATTTTATTGAGTATCCGATTTGATCCGTAAATTAAATATTTTTTTTTGTAAATAAATGAAAAAATCTAAAAAAATATGAAATAATAATATCTTATATAAAAATCAAACATTATTTATTTTTTTAAACTCTAATACCTAATATAATAAATTAATACATAAACAAACATACTGTAAAATTAGTACCAAAAAATATTAGTATTCTGATTTGCTTCGTAAAATTACAGATATCTGAACTTTTTTGGTTCGAATCAAAACAGATAACGAATCGAATCAACATTTATGAATATTTTTCCCAGCCATAAACCGTGAATAATAAAATAAAATATATATGGAGAATAATTGAGCTTTCAATTTTTCATTTATGGAGAATAATTGGGCTTTCAATTTGTTATCCGTTTTGATTTGAATCGAAAAAATCAAAATAGTGTTAGTTTATTAGAATCCTGCATGTGGGTTTTATATTGACAAAAGATGTAAGGCACATAGTGTAAACAAATTTATGTCGAGTGTGACTGTGAAATTTTCTATATGTGACATGTTAGCGAACTATTATCAAATCGATGTGAAGTTGTCATTTATCATTATAGTGTGAATGTATTTATGACAATGCTTCTTCTTTAATATAGAAGTGATATGATATAAACCTATAAATAAATGGTATGAATGTTACAAAAAGCTTTAGTTACTACAATAAAAACTCTATAAATAGTAATATTGGGATTATAGTATTTTATTAATTTATAGAGTTATTAATTTATGAAAAGTTTCCAATTTATACTTTTTATATTTCAGAATATATTTTTGATTAAAACAAAAAATGTTCATTTTTTCTATATACATTAATTAAATTTTAGAAATTAGATTTTCATATTATTCTTATTATATTATTTGGTGTATAGAAAATCTGTTTTATGTAATTTAAATATAGTTTTGGATATAATTTACTAAATAATATCAAAATGTATTGAAATTTTAAGAAAAAGGAAATAATTCTATTGTAAATATAAATCAAACAATATACTGTTTTGTTTGTACTTATATAAATAATATTTTATTGTAATGAGATTTTCTAAATAAATATTATTTTTTTTGGTGTTGAAATCGCTCACGACGGAATCAATGGCTAAAAGTTTCCGTAAAAATAAAAATACGTTTTATAAAACACGAGAAGTTGTTTTATAAAATGCTAAGGACTTTCCGAACAAAGGAAATCCACGGAAAACTTAGAAATCTTCATCTCAGAAGAACAGACGAAACAATTGACGATTACACGATTCCCAAGTTAAGCAAAAACCGCAAAACACCGCATCCGCCGTAAACCGCGAGCAGGTTCGACCGGACCAAGTTCAACGTACTACGAGCCGAACCACCCGGTTCAGCTCGCCATACGGCGAACTGGTCGGTCTCGGACCAGCTCGCCGTAAGGCAAGATAGCGGCCCACGGACCAGCTCGCCGTACGGCGAGCTGGCCATCTCCGAACAGCTCGCCGTACGGCGAGCTGGACCGTTCCCGATTCAGTTCGCCGTACGTCGAGCTGACCATCCCAAGCCTCGATCTCCCACGTCCTTGACTCAAGGCATATGTCCTTCGGTTCGATCATGCTCTGAACCATGGTCGAAATGTCTTTCATTTCGTCTCGATCCGTCTCACCGTTTAAGTTTTACGATAGGAATAGTAAAACTCTTCTTTTCTCGTAAAGTTCGGGAAGATCATATAAAACGGAAACGATTTAAGCGGAACATCGTACATTGTCAAACTATACGATCAACTCGAGAAATCTTATAAAAGCGGCATCGTATCAGGAAACGATCTCGTCAAAAACCGTAAAACGGGTTTTACCGCAAAACGGCTCGGACAGCCCAAAAGCGCGATAAAAACCCATTTGCGACTTTAAACGAAATCCAGCCCAAGATACAATGACGGTTGATATACCATGATTTTGACCCAATTTTAGCCATGGTATTGATATTTTTTTATGTATATTTACTACAATATAGAGTATATTTAGAATATTTACAGGTTCATGTACGTTATGGAGTAAAGTGGTGATTTTGGTGTCTTTTGGAGCCTTTAAGTGCAGAACTGCGCATATGCGTCAGATGTTTAGATATGGATGAAGATCTTCCTACGGTGATATTGAGCCCATTTTTTGACACAAAATAGAGCTTTGAGTTAGCTTTCTAATGCCACCGGTTTGAGGTCAATCCAACGGTTAGATCAGAAGCTATGCCCGTTTTACTGAAGCGTGGTCAGTCTGCCTCGCGATACAAGGCTGTCGAGAAGAGGAAGGTATATCGATCGATGGGAGACACTTCCTATCGATCGATATGAATGCCAGAACGTGGGCTGACTATATTTCATAACCGACTGAAGCCCACAAGTTACCAAAATACCCTTGATGATTTGAAACTCTATTAATGTTATTTCTAAGCCATTGTTGACGGCTAAGCTTTTCTAAGTTCTTTTCTATTGTTTCTCTTAGTTAGGAGAGAAGGGAGGAACTCCTATCAGAGTCCTCCTGGAACTCCATTGGTATTTATATCTATTCTATTTCAGTTTTATATCTATTCATCTATTATTTCTGTGACAATCTTCATGTCTGAATAGATCCACCTGTTGCATTTAGGGATCAGATAGGTTGTGGGATTAGCCCCAACTATAGATTGCTAAGTTTTGATATTCATTGTTAGGATGTTCTTAATGCTTGTTTCTAGAGTCATGAACTAGAACCATGAACTGGAATAGCTTAATTTATTAATCTTCATCCTGATATCATCATGTACAAGCTAAGATCCTCTAGGGCTACGCGAGAGCCGGTCTATGATCTTTGTGGGCACTATTTCAACTCGATCTGAAGCTATATCGATTGATATTCCTATAGAGTAATCGATCAACAATAAGTATATATCGATATCGTTCACAAAACATCGATCGATATTGTCGGCATTAGATCAATGGACGAGTCCAATAGCGACAGCTAATAGACTTATCTAAGAGTTGAAACTCTTTATTAACATGCATGCAACTTGTTAGGCATCTATAGCATTATAATCCTGATTACCTGAATAGAAACCCTAGATCTAGCAACCATCCTTCCATCAAACAAATCCTTGCCAAGCTGAAAAATTACCTTGTTCATCTTCTAAACTGTTTTCAAGTTTATAATATTTATTTAACTGCATTAATACTTGTTAGCTTAGCTTAATCATTTAACTAATAGATCTATTAGGTTCCTTAGCTCCTTGTGGATTCGATCCCTAAGTACTACAACTGAACCTCTTATTTGAGAGAGTAATTCACTCCTTAGGGTAATTTGAGTGATATCAAATTTGGCGCCGTTGCCAAGGAGCTTTGATCACCATTAGATCTTATCTACTTAGATTTAGTCTAGGTTTTGTTACTGTTCAAATACTGATAAATTTTTTTCTTCTTTTTCAGGTACATACATCTCAGTACCCGGAACAATGAAGAGAGGATTTCTAGTTCCTTCAAGGAAGGAGTCTGCTGGTTCACGCTTATCGATCGACACCCTCCAAGCAGAATCGATCGACAGCGTACACCAGACATCGATCAATATGGCACACCATCAATCGATCGAAAAAACCTCGTTGGGAGCAGGTAAGTTTTCTGTTAACACATATGTTAATCAAGAAGTAGTCCAAATTGAACCAATAGGTAAAATAAGCAATGCAATTAGCCAAAATAAAAATAAACATGGGACCAAAATCCATGTTACAATCCATTCTACCTTGAATAAAGGTGAAGAAATTAAATTGCCTTTGCAAAACTACAAAACCCTTGTTCCCCTAAAATCGATCGA